ACCGGACTGCTACTTGAAAATTTATCCTACCACCTGAGAATTGTAGAATCATAACCCGGATTGAAAACCAACAGTGCAAATCCCTCTGTAGGTGTGTATGTATGCAATGTGTGTGTGCATGTATGTCTCTGTCTGTCTGTCTGTCTGTCTGTCTGTCTGTCTGTCTGTCTGTCTGTCTGTCTGTCTGTCTGTCTGTCTGTCTGTCTGTCTGTCTGTCTGTCTGTCTGTCTGTCTGTCTGTCTGTCTGTCTGTACGTATGTATGTACGTATGTACGTATGCATTTGGGTGCATGTATGTATGTGTGCTTATATGTATGTAAGTGCGTGTTTGTATGTATTACGGATGTCGGTATATAAGTGTGTATATATGAGGATGTAAGAGTATGTGTACGTGTGTGTGTGTTTGAGTGTGTAACATTGTATATACATGATGTATGTATGCATTATTCTATAATGTTTTTTTTTTTTATTATAAACATAACATGCATTATTGATAAAAGGCATTGGTACTCCGAAAGATGAGTGCTTGATTTGATTTGATTCAAGAACCGACATCACAGCACTTGGGGCCTTTCCATAAGCGCCCCGTTCGCATCTTCAGCAGCCAGCGAAGAGTTCCAATACTAATGGTGCCAGTAGCATTCTGATTAAACGTTCGTCTTGCCTTACCTCTATGCCTCAAGCATCAGCCAGAACCTCTCATCATCACCCCCCCCCCCCTCCCGCCCCCAATCTCACCAGACTGTGGTGATCCATCTACTCCTCCGAACTGTACACGCTCTCCCACAAGGCACTAACCACGTCTGCCTTATCATTATCAGTAGATGAGTGTTTAGAAGGGCCGAATGTCAGACGGGACTGCGTGCCCAATCTGTAACCCTTTGAAAATAAAGTTTGTTCGTTCGAAAGAAGTTACAACTGGGGCACTAGTACACGTTTGGTGTAGCCAGCAGTCCAGTTCGAGTAAAAATGTTACCATGTCGTCTGCTGGGCGCAAAGGACGGACAATAATTAGGCCGGGGTTTTCCAAGCTTATGAACAACCGTCACTTGTTTAGGACAGCAGATCATCGCCATCTTGCACCATCACCAGAATTACGGATCATGTCACCGTTCTTGTCCCACTTCATTCGTGCGGCCACAACATTTCAAGTATGTATGGCTCCCTCTTGCTCTTTCCCCATCAACCTTGCCAGGTGTCACTAAGTTCTCAAGCCCACGACAAAGTACAACTATTTCACAAGATTTAACGGATTACATGAGATCTGTTTCTGCAAAGCTGACAGCCAAAATATAGCCCATCGCGTAGCCGTATTGTTTAATTATCAAGCAGCATTCATGGAGGAAGAATGTATCAGATCCAATCAAGGTTGTTTTTCTTTTCTTCTTTTTCTTCTTCTTCTTCTTCTTCTTCTTCTTCTTCTTCTTCTTCTTCTTCTTCTTCTTCTTCTTCTTCTTCTTCTTCTTCTTCTTCTTCTTCTTCTTCTTCTTCTTCTTCTTCTTCTTCTTCTTCTTCTTCTTCTTCTTCTTCTTCTTCTTCTTCTTCTTCTTCTTCTTCTTCTTCTTCTTCTTCTTCTTCTTCTTCTTCTTCTTCTTCTTCTTCTTCTTCTTCTCATTCTCCTTCTTCTTCTTCTTCTTCTCCTCCTTCTTCCTTCTTCTTCTTCTTCTTCTTCTTCCTCTTCTTCTTCTTCTTCTTCTTCTTCTTCTTCTTCTTCTTCTTCTTCTTCTTCTTCTCCTCCTCCTCCTCGTCTTCTTCTTTCTTCTGTCCTTTATCCCCAATGGAGCATATGCCCCCAACGAACTTATGTCAAGTCCTCTTATCCTTTACTATTGTTTCAGCACAACACGTACAGATTGGCTAGGTTTTGTATAAGGGATGTTTGTAGTAACCGAGTCATGTCTCAGCTGAGCTCATAGAACTCTGATTGTGCTTAGACTTGCGATGTTTACTTCACGGGGTTTGCATATTTCACTATCAACAGACTTCCTACCACGGTACGGAAGCAGCCCTATCCGCCAACCATTTTACTAATCATTGTGAAGCAGGTCCATTGTAGACCTTAGTCGAAGTCGAGGTTTCAACTTCACTACAATCAAGTTTTCCCATACCTGCTCCGTTTCTGTACCAATGAAAATCAGGCTCTACTTGGAATAACGGTTCTAAATGAACTTCGCAGAAAGTTAAACTAAACAGAGCCTCACAACGCTGACAGTTAACCCGAACAGAGCCTCAAACATATGTAAAAGTCGCATTTCTTTTGCGGCGATTCAACCGTGTCAAAAGTAGTATTAACTGCGCACGACATTTTCGCGGAACGCAACTGATCTTTTACGGCGATTAGATGGCGGCAAAACAAGGATTAACTGCATACGAAAAAAATTACGGACACGCGACAATACTCCCGATAGCGCTATCCTACGGCAGGGCCCGAGTTATATGTAAGTTGCCGATCGCTTTTCGCCGACTATAGTTCCACCTCCGAGATATCCCCCCGCGCCGCTACGTGCGGCGCATAGGGGGCTAAACTAGATGGCTGGGACAGCTACCGCAGTTCCTGCAGCTTCCTCCAATGTATTTGCTCGTGAGTCCTAGCCATCTAGTTTAGTTCCTTCCGCGCCGCGCGTAGCGACGCTGGGGATACTCTCGGAGGTGGTACTATAGTCGGCAAAAGAAGAAGTTCACATTGTGCACGTTACTGACCCCAGGTCAGCGTACGTTTCCGGCCTCGACATTTTGAAATATGTGTAGGGCAGGACGTAATGAGGCTCTGTTTGGGATTAACTTTCTGCGTAGTTCATTTAGAACCGTTATTCCAAGTAGAGCCGAAAATCATATGAAATATCCCTCACTGTTCTATCTGAAAAGCTGGTGAACAAACAATTAACCCCGGCACAATCCAGAAACATGCGTACATAGAATGCATGTCTGTTGCTAGAGGCGCCAAAGCCAACAGTCGCCACCAGAAATGCAGTTTGTCGTTGATGGAAGTAATAATCAGTTGGCCTGCACACGTATAATTATTAATTAAGGTACGTCACCATACCACAGGTAAACCAACTACCGGTAATAGTAAATACCACGACACAACCGCTACACCAATGAAAGGCATTCCATGTGAAAAACGCAGCTCCCGTGGCTGCAGTTAGCACTAAACTCAGTAGCTCTGGCAGCAAAACCGTAGATTTCCGCTCCCTGTGCAGAAACTGCATTAGCAATGCGCTGTCGAAAACAAAAATAACTTCGAAGCTAAACATGATGCTATGCAATTTGACCACTGCGGAACGTTGCTATCATCCCAGCACGCCAAAAAGCCAGTCGTTTCGTTGCCAGCTTTCATGACCTACGCCTTGCCTTTTACTACTCTTTTTCTGCCTTCTATGCCCTAATGGAACATAGACCCGCAACCAGCTCACGCTAAGTTGTTCTGTCCTACGTTATTAATGGCAGCTCTCCATATGTCCTTCCCATCTTTTTAACTTCACTATCTCCTTTCTCAATGTATTTTTTGGTCTTCTTTTATTTCTATGCCCCTGTGGGTTCCAGTGTGAAGACAATCTAGTTACATAATTCTCAATTTTCTTAGCGTGGGTCCTACCCACATCTTTTACTATTACTGGGAACTATTTCACATTTCATTGTGTAATATTGTTGCTGGACAAATTCGGCTTGGGAGAGGAAAGAAACAGAAAGTGCGGTTATTGGAAAGATTTAGAGAACAATCTAGCCATGCCATACGCTCAAACTAAGCGTCGTTGCATCTCCCTACTACTATTATGAAGAAGATAGGAACAAAATAAGCAGAATTGAATTGACCCAGACATGAGCCAATTTCACCATGGGACAGGAGAGAGAAGCACACAGGTGAGATCTTAGATAGAGGACCAGCCTACGCCACACACCTTGGTATTATACATGGTTGCATTTCTGCACGACTCGTGCAAAGAAAAGATCAGACAACATTGATTAACATCTCACAAAAACAATTCATCGCACAACATAGCCACTAGCTATATTCACCTAAGGAGAGACACCCAAAGTGCAGCTTTAACGAGGGGCCAACCAAGGCCACATACCTAAGATATGCATCGTTGCATCTCCCCACTATTTTGTGAGAAAAAGAGCAGGCAAACTACAGTAAACATTTCATCACATAGCGTCGTCACAATCCAAATCCACTCATGGAGATGGTAGAAACCCAGAGTGCTAAATTTAAACAAGGATTAACCAAGGCCACGCATGTGATCCATAGGCGGTTGTGTTCTCTTTCACTACTCTCGTGAAGAATATAAAAGAGAACTCATGGTAAAGTAAACAATATTTCATCATACGACAACATAGCCACCATCCAAATATATCCATTGAGGACAAAAAAACCTAAAGTGTAGTCTTTAGAAAATGACTAACCAAGGCCACACACATGATCTTTGCATGGTTAGACCTTCTCACTAATCTTATGAATGCAATAGAAGGGACTTTATAATAAAGTAAACAATATTTCATCACGCAACATCTGCCACCATCTAAACACACCCCGTGAGAGAGGGAGAAACACAAACAAACAAAGTGCGAGCAACCCCTCGTCCCCTTGCTCCTGTGCCAACCAACACGCCACCATTACGTATCAACATACGCGTCAAGGCAGGCCGGTGATTGGCTGGAGGTCCCGTGACCGCAGCTCCACGTCGCAAATGTCGGCAAGATAAATACGACCGTCTGCAGGTGGCGAACGTTAGGCTGTTTAGACCAGGATGGACGTCTGAGATTGTAGAGAAAGGTTTCCAGAAGGCCTTATGCCACAGCTATAGAGGCAATGATTGATCGCCAAGAAGCATAACCGCAAAGATTCAGATACCAAGGACACTTGTGGCTTTGGGATTGTTGGATTTGCTGACGGATATTTGGGATTTGATCGAAGCGTAATTCTTGCGTTCTTTCAAATCGTACGGACTCCGACTCCTCGACTTGCTGTCGCAGATCTGCAAAACCAAATTTACTTCAAAATGAGAACGGTGAGTGTTTTCAATGCTTTTTTATGTCTTTAGTTATTGTTGAGGATATAAGCGTTAAGATGTGTGGTTTCTGAAGATGACTGTGGTGTGAAATTTGAGTATTAAAGTGAGAAAATGATGGAGACGACATTTGCTTTGTTGCGTCTGCTGGGTCTATATATAGCCGGCCAGGCCAGGGTCATATTTACACCCGTATCCTTGGACAAATTAACCCAATAAATGCTAACTACTCTACTTTTTATTTGCATTTTTGTACAGAACAGATATGATTAGACCCATGCCCTGTATTAAGATAGAAGATGACTTCTGAAAACCACACACTAGACAGCTAAAAAAATAGAAACTTCGCAGACAAAAGGAATTTGGAGAAAGGGGTCACTAGGTTAAGCCCAGATTTAGGTTAGTTAGCAGGTCCTTTGTAGAATACTTAAGATTTATGGGTCCGCAGATGCTTCTGGGTTATTGCTATTGCAAAAACATAGTAATGCAGAGTAGGCAGTATGTATAAAACAGTTTAAATCAATCTATCATAATAAAACAGCCTAAAAATTGCCAACAGAATGACGTGTTTTTCATGAAAGGACAACAAACGGAAGCAGTGTGTAATCTCAGGTGTTGGTCACTCAGACAGAACACATAACGTGGGGACATACGCTTTGATTTGACCTCTGGTTGATTTCTTCCGGATTTATATTTAAATAGGTTAGTTGCTATCCTTTACATTGTGACAGGTTCAATTCCCCGCATGGTAACTATAGCATTCGATTTTTATGTTGTCTAGTGTGTTCTATCTTTCTATGAGTGGGATCAATACACTTTCTGTTACTTGATTAATTCATCGTATCATCCTTTACAGGACGTGGCAGAACCAACCCCAGCAGCCCCTGGCTGTTGTGTGGTTTCTCTAGGTAATTTACGTCCAATAGTTTGCCTTGCTGCTGGACGGTCGGCCCCTGATACCACTTGAAACCAACGCAAGGCACATGGCCCGCAGCTGGGATCGAACCCGGTACCCCCTACCTACATATTATTAAAACAGCTTGTTATGTTCATCCTAATATAGATCTGAACATAAAGGAAGATTGGCTGATAAACAGCATCATCTCTTGGAAAGCAGTATAAATGACACTGTGGGAAGGAAGATGCATAAGGTGAAAGTGAAAGCAGCTGGGAAGAGATCAAGTTTCTTTCAAGCAAACCATCATGAGAGGAACATTCTGTAAAGGACTTGCTACATGATGTTGATATTGGATAACCTCCAATATAAACCAGATTTATTTGATATGTCTACAGGTTCTTGCAGATAAAGTTTACAGTAGATGAAATTAAAATGTATACTGTGTAGGAGAAAGTAATTGAATGGTGCAGTGGTGCACATTTTGCTTTGTTAACAAAGTACATTAATTCGTAAGTTGTAGCTGAACCTGGGTGCACATTTTGCCGAGTCTTTTAACAGAGTAAATTTGTTTGTGTGTGCTAGCTGAATCTGGGTGCATATTACTGTATATATTTTAATGGAAATTGCAGTGTAATAATGTTAACTATAGTAAACATTTATTAACCTGAACTCGCTTAGGAGGAACATAACAGAACTGTGGTCCCTGCAGGAATGTGATGATTTGAGTTGGTTAGCGCAGATTTTTTTAAACACGAACTCTGGATTTTTTTATCCTTTGAAATTCATGTTAATGGGTTTTACTTGCTGTATATAAATTATAAATTTATTTTAAGTTTCCACTCTGTTTACTTGGAAGTCGGTACTATAGTTTGTGACAGGGAACTGTATTACTTTAAGTATATTTAAAGTGTGAAGTCAACACTGCCTTGCTAAAAATCTTGTTTCCAAGTGCAGCAATGTTTTAGTCTCATAGAGCTGAGAAATACAGCTATGAGAGAGAAAGTGTTATTGTGATAACTGGAAAAAAAAAGGTTTCACATCAGACAAGAATGACATATGGAAAGTAATGCCATAACCGAGTAATGCACCAATGCAGATGGGAAGAAACATGGTGAGAACTGTCATCGTCAACGCTGTACATACTAGGTTGGGGGATAATGGCGAATCTACGACACTTAACACAACTGCGTGACTAAGGAGTTGAAACTTTGGTGAAGCATGACTATGCTGTCTTCAAAGTAAAGACAGGAGATATTATAACCAAATTCCCATAGGAACAATCAGTAGAAATACCTTGGAGGGCTGCTGCATCGGAGGATTGAGTGTGCATGGGGATGCCCAATGTACAAAGACGTTGATAGTGGTAACATAACATAACTGCACCATGTTTACTATAAATAATAAACGGCTGATGAGTTCCTTGTTACTGAAATACTTACTTTATGGTCTTGAAATGTTGTATCCTTCTCTACAGATAGAAGAAATTGCCTCAATGCGGTCTTCAGCTGTTCGCCCTAATAGCTTGGAGTTGGACAATGCCCTTACTTTGGACATGGACTGCGTATTCCCTGACTTTGACAACAACAATAGCAATAACATCGTTTCTAACACCAAGAACACTATTAATAGTAGGAAAAAGAGAAGAAGGGCAGCCATCAAGAAGTTTAGCGGTAAGAAAAACTTACAAAATACTTCATTTCATTATTACTGTCATCATCTATGTTTGCACTGAGTTTTATCTGGTTATGTTTTTCTCGTCCGGGTTTGCATTCTGTAGAATTAACATCTCCCATCCGTGGCAAGCGTCTAGCCGCTCCACCACAGCGACTCCCAGTCAGTTCAGGATCATAGATGAAATAGAGTCAAGCACCTGGGGCCTCTCTCTCATCGATTGTTTTAGGTTATATTGGGGCACCATGGAACGGTTGCAGAGCAACCTGTAGCCCACTGTAGGTTGGTTGTGTCCTTTTTGGTCTAGTAAGAGTCCACGTTGTGACTCCTTCAGTCCCAGGTGGTCATTACTGTTTAACTCATAACTGAAACAGTTGCTGACAGTAACACTTAACAGGGTTCGAAACGAGCTGGTTACAATAACCACTGTATGACAAAATAAATTACAGAAACAATGGAATAGAGTGGGTTAATTATGAGCTCGATAAGAATAATGGGATACGAGTAGTTGAACTTATAGTTCAGATAAACTTCTTCAGCATGTGTCGTTTCAAGGGCCTTTGGTGCATTGTGTTATGCTTTATAGCTAGGCTGTGATATTTGCACTGAAAGATACAAGCATCACCAGTATCATCAAAATGTCAGATGATAGAACAGATTGGAGAGCAAGATAACCACTGTTTCTCCACAATGTCATCTTGAAAAAGTTTAATTCTGCATAAATTTTCAGACTGTAACTAGCTGGTGGTCTTGTAAAGCTGATTTCCTTCTTTCCTACATGCAGCCTGTTGTAACTGTTTATTGAGTGTAAACAAAAGCATTGTACCTGTCTCATCTTGCAGATATTTATGAGGAAACTGGAGAATTTTTAGGCAATGGATCATATGCTTCTGTCAAGGCCTACAGGAAAAAGGAAACTGGACAAGAATATGCAGTAAAGGTTAGTACATCCGCAGTAATATACATTATACAGTGTTGGTTTAAAAAAAAAAGTTTGGAGTAATATACATAATACACTGCTCATTTAAAAAAAAAATTGTGTTGATTTATATTGTACACTGTTCATTTAATAAAAAAAAAAGATGTAGTGATATACATTGTAAAATGTTTATTTAAAAAAAAAAGTGATAATATACATTGTCTCAAACATGATATAACTTAGTGTATGAAATGTTATGCCTGTGCCATATCTTGTATTGGGATTACCTATGTTTGTTAAAGCGTGGTTGTTGTTTTTGTTTGAACAGATGATCAACAAGTGTACTAGCCTCCAACGCAGCAAAGTCTTCAAAGAAATTGAAATATTCCATCAGTGCCAGGGCAGTGAGAACATACTAAATTTGGTGGAGTATTTTGAGGAAGAAGATGTGTTTTACCTGGTCTTTGATAAGATGGAGGGCGGCACGCTCCTGAGCAACATAGAGAGTCGGGGTCATCTCAGCGAGTATGAAGCTTCCCTTGTGGTCAAGGAAATAGCCCGGGCCCTTGATTTTCTTCATAGCAAGGGCATCGCTCATCGAGACCTGAAACCTGAGAATATTCTGTGCCAAAGAATAGGAGAGGTGGTTCCACTGAAGATCTGTGATTTTGACCTGGCCAGTGGTGTGCCTCCCAGCTTGAATAATTCTGACGGCAGCAAGACTCCTGAGTTGCTGACACCTGTTGGTTCTGCTGAATACATGGCCCCCGAAGTTGTGGATGCTTGGGTTGGAGAGAGTTTCTCCTATGACAAAAAATGTGACCTCTGGAGCCTGGGAATTATTCTGTAAGTGTTCAGCATTACATTATAACACTTTTTCTCCTCCTCCTCTGACTTTTCTTCTTATTCTTCGCCGTCGTCGTCACCTTCTTCTTTTGCTACCTATTCTGCTTTTTTATGTGTGTGGCCATTTACATCTAGGCAGTGATGTCTGCCCTATTAGTTTTTTTTTTTTTTTTTTTTTGGGGGGGGGGGGGGGGGGAATAATGTTTCTTATATCAGTCTTTCTTCTGTGGTTCCATTCACTTCTCTCCAGCTTCTGCTTTTATCATTGTAAAAGTTTCATTGATGCTATGTCTACCAGCATGTTAGTCTGTCCGTGTCTGAAATTACCAATAGATAATATCTTTTTTTATGATTTCTACAAGAATTAGATGAAGCTGTACTAAACACATTCCCCATGTGGGTTCAAGAATCCTGTTGTTGGGGGGGGGGGGAGGGGGAGGGAATGAATAGATTCACTGTTTGCCCTAACATAAGTGTTGTAGTTTGCCCTAAGTGTTGTAGAAGGCTACTCATTACGGTGTTTCCTTTGAAGTCGGAGCACATCTGTATGAGAGGCGAGGAAACCAGCATTGTGCATTCAAATAAGCCAGATCTGTAAAACAGACGAGCATGCAGAACTCAAGTTTGGGTACAAGACCAAAGTCCAGAAGTATATGGACAACCATAACAAGAAATAAGAATTACTACTCAGCAAAACAAGATAAGGCGAACGCGCTGACTGTAGGAGTATGAAGTGATATGGAGAGTACCAAATGGAACCCCTATTACTGAACTACTTTTCAACTCCAGAGTTGGCTTTTAGAATATATAAAAATATATTACTTAGAGGTTTAATAATTATATTAAGATGTAAAAAAAAAAAACGTAAAGGATAAGAAGCATGGTTGCGGCCTATGTTCTTATGCAGCTTTCCTATTTCGTTGTCAGTGACCCACTTGGGGTCCTTGGAGAAAATTTAAGGGGTGTTTGATATCGTCAGTCGGCATGTACTTTACAGAATGTCACCTGAAAGTCTCTTTCTAAAGCCGGTTATCCAACCCTGAGTGCTTTCATAGCCATTGCATATGGAATGTCTTGTGTCCGCATTCTAGGAGGTCAGCCACTACTTGGTTTTTCAGAAAATGTACCATCCATTGCTATTCTCTCCAGGCACCATGATGTTTAACATGGCCAGCATACCTCAGCTTCCTAGAAGTGTTGCTGTTCTTCCTAGAAGTGTTGCTGTTCTTCCTAGAAGTGTTGCAGTTCTTCATAGACGTGTTGCTGTTCTTCCTGAGTGTTGCAGGTCTTTCTAGAAGTGTTGCTGTTCTTCCTAGAAGTGTTGCTGTTCTTCCTAGAAGTGTTTGCTGTTCTTCCTAGAAGTGTTTGCTGTTCTTCCTAGGAGTGTTGCTGTTCTTCCTAGGAGTGTTGCTGTTCTTCCTAGAAGTGTTGCTGTTCTTCCTGAGTGTTGCAGGTCTTTCCAGAAGTGGTTGCTGTTCTTTCTAGAAGTATTGCTGTTCTTTCTAGAAGTGTTGCTGTTCTTTCTAGAAGTGTTGCTGTTCTTCCTAGAAGTGTTTGCTGTTCTTCCTAGAAGTGTTTGCTGTTCTTCCTAGAAGTGTTTGCTATTCTTCCTAGGAGTGTTGCTGTTCTTCCTAGGAGTGTTGCTGTTCTTCCTAGAAGTGGTTGTTGTTCTTCCTAGAAGTGGTTGCTGTTCTTTCTAGAAGTGTTGCTGTTCTTTCCAGAAGTGTTGCTGTTCTTTCTAGAAGTGTTGCGGTTCTTGGGCCAATTCTTCTTGATGCTTAGATCATGTAGATGTCTGTTTTTTTCTTGGTTCATGGTATTCTAAGAATTTTTCTATAGCATTTCATTTTATGATGTGTGATATCATTTACACAGAATCTCTTAATCCCTTTTGCAGTTCTGATGTGTGTAAATGACAATTACATAGTATAGGGTCCATGGCAGACCTGCAAAACTAAGGGTATGTCTAATTGGGAAGCACTGAGGGGGGGGGGTGGTGTTGAAAAAAAATCAGAAAAAGAACAATATTGTTGTCATAAGAGATATTGACTAGGTCTGTCTATTAAATTTTGGAGTTGTTACATTATTTGAATGTCTAACATTGTTTTAAAATGTATCTTGTTGAGTTTAGATACGTGTATATATTAATAATTATATTACTATATATATATATATATATATATCCTAGTCGGTCATTGATTACCTGTTAAATTTGAATTCTTCCAGGTACATTATGTTGTGTGGCTACCCTCCTTTTTACGGCCAGTGTGGCGAGGATTGTGGCTGGGAAAGAGGGGAAGCTTGCCAAGATTGTCAGGAGCTGCTCTTCAACTCTATCCAAGAAAGCGTGTACGAGTTCCCAGAGATTGAGTGGAGCTGTGTGTCGGAAAGTGCCAAGGATTTAATCAGACACCTTTTGGTGCGCAACCCTCGCAAGCGCTACTCGGCTGCTGATGTTCTGAAACATCCTTGGGTTACGAAGCCTCAGGCAGCTACTCCATTGGCCACACCTCTAATCCTAACAAGGTAACTTTCCTTTTAAAGTCTTGTTTACTTTGCTGTTATTTTGTGGCACTTTTCAGGTTCATAAATTCATAGAAGTGTAGCATCTTTTTGTTTGGTTTTCCTGTGGTTTGCAACGGTATGCTGTACCAGTACATATTTTTTTTAGGCATAATTGTGGTCAGCACTACAGTAATAGACAGCTTGTAGTGAGTACCAGCACCACCATTTTTGACACTTTGTAGTGAGTAGCGCACTATTTTAGACACTTTGTAGTGAGTGCCCACACCATTTTTGAAACTTTGTAGTGAGTACCCACAACATTTATGACACTTTGTAGTGAGTACCAGCTCAATTTTTGACACTTTGTAGTGAGTACCCGCACTATTTTTGACACTTTGTAGTGAGTACCCTCACCATTTTAGACACTTTGTGGTGAGTACTTGCACTAGAGAAAAACATTCCCCGGACTGGATAGGATTGTAAGTAAATAATAACTCAAGCATTGAGAAGTTCTAATCAGAAATATTTTCACATATATATCTAGTATGACTAGATTGACCTTGCAGTAGAAACCTACAGAGTGAATGAGATAGAGGGAGACTTGTAAAGCTATGCTATCTTCACAGCCGATTAGAAGTTGCTAATAAATTTGAGCTCACTAGATCGTCTTGATATAAGATGTACTAGATCGCCTAACTGTTATTCATGCTATTAGTTGGTTTTGCTGCTAATGATATTTAGTCAACTCATACATCCTAATTTTCAAACCTCAACTGCTTAGTCACTAGCTGTTTCCATAGGTGATGTTTGTTGATTCATCTGTTTCACTTTCGTAGTGAGCTGAACACTTTTCACCACATTCATCATTTGGTCACTATTCTCACTTACTTTACCAATCTTATACTTTCAGTAGAAAAGACTATAACTGTTTCACGTTTTCTCATAAATATGGGTCATATCAGCTCTGTAATGTTTTGTTTCTTTTTTGTTTACTGGTATTAGTTGTTTTTTTTCTGGGCCTTGTGTCTAAACCTTAACATTGGTTGTTGCAGGAATAACAGCACCAAAGACCTGGAATCTTTTGCTGAGACAGCCATCTCAATCAATCGCATGATGCAGCAACAACGCCTGATGATATCTGGAGCACCCCAGTTTTACGTCGGCCCCCCATCCGAACCAGTTATTGAAGAAAGCAGCGGAGATGATGAGAACCACAGCGACAATGACCAGGAGTCCTCCATCTGTTTTGACTTCATGAAAGGCATGAAATTCTCATCACAGGACCTTCCGGTGATTATCACAACGCACGCTTCCAGCAGCAGCAACAACAACAATAACAACAACAGCTTTCATCATCATCATGATCCAACATTGGGAAGCATGGACAGTTTAATTATTAGCTCAGGGAGTTGGCAGTGAGAGGAGAGGATGAATTGGCTTTTTGTGACGGTACTGCAGTTTTTATTACTTTTTTTCCCCCGCATTAAAGCAATTCAAGGACTGTTCTGTTGACTTTCAGCTAGAAATTTGTAGTGATACTTTCTTCAAAACACACTCATCATTGACTTGGAAATTTAGTAACTAAGCATAGATACTTCATTGACAGGGACTAGTAACCACTTAGACTGTTGTCACATTCTATCTGAGCTGACAATTGTGTGAGAAAATTGTATCACTGAAAAATTATACTCAAGTAGACATTCTAAATCATTACTTCCTCTGTTCATCAGACTGTTTAATTGGTAAGTCTTTATAAAATGTCCTTATGACTGTGTTGTTTTATTGAATTTTCCTTTTCATTGAGCAGTTATATTTTTTTTTAAAGATCTGTATACTATACTTTTATAGCAGTTTTGTCAATGTTTGGTACCTGTTCTATGAGATTCTTTTTTGGGCCGGGTAGCTGTGAAGCTAGGAAATTTGATTTCTTTGAAATTGGCTGCAGGTTTAAATAGCAAATTAAAGAAGGATTTCAGCATGAACTCTTAAGTCTTTGCATTTTCTGTATGTATTCACTTTTTTTTTTTAAAGATCCCGCTTGTGTTCTTTTGTTTCAAACTGTTGAGTTCCTTCTGTTCTCCATTATTGTATTAATTTATTTTGAAAGCAGTTCACAAAGTTTCTATTAGTCAAACGAAACATTAGTTCTATTCTCATTACACTGGCACCCATAGACACAGTTTATCATATACTTTTATCATTTAATTATTGTTTTAAATCTCTTCATTCAGACATCCAACAATATTATATTATATATGAAACGTTTTTACTTTTGTATGTTTGTATTTTTACTATTATTCACTCTATACCGAACAGTAAAACAGTACATATATATCATACTTAAAACTCAAGTCACCTAAAAAAATTTTTTTTACTTCGTTCATACTTTTTTTTTTTAAGTCACACTCAACTTTGAACAGTCCAAATGCTCAAAGTTAAACTTCAGAAAATTAAACTGTCATTTACATTGTTTCACTTAGTGTCTTTGCCCAGTCTGTTTTATACATTGAAAAAAAAAATACATTGCAAAACAAAACAAAAAAACACAAAAAAAATCTTCTTTCAGCTTTGTGGAGAAGAAAGCAATTGTTAAAAATCCATTCAGTATTTTTGTTCGCTTCATGTTCTCACATTTACCCATATTTTAGTCATTCATCGCCTCGTGATAAACACACAGTGACAACATACTTTGCCGTACGATGACGGATGCCAAGTTTGTTCAAATACCACTGAATCATTCCAGTTGTTTTCAGAAATATATGAACATATCCAGTTGGTTTTCAGTGTTCCAGAACAACTTAAATGTTGCCTCATTTTCATTTTTTTTGCATTCTTCATTGATCATTAAACTTGTTATAAAATGAAAATTAAAAAAAAAAAATGTGTTTCTAAGGAGAAATGAGTTTCAAGATGGTCTTGTTATCAAAATACTTGGCAGATAACATGTTTCGCTTCCATTTCAGTTTTTCGAACCAAAACAAAGAATAAAACCTTGTCAAGTTTTAAAATACAAAAAAAAAAAACAAATGTGATTTCTTCCCACATTGCACAGAAAATCGTTATTTATAATGAGCTGAAGCATAATGTACATTCATGTGATAGCCATCGTATGACTGGATGCGATTAGAGCTTCTGTTATCTCAACTCTTAGTACCAAGCAGGTATTCGTTAATTGATATGTTAACAGGAAGTTAACCCTTTCAACAAATGCCTAATGACATCGGGTGTGTCAGCCAAAAGGCGCACTGTGCTGTAAACAGGCACAACACAATTACGTCACCCAGATGAACTATATTTTTAATAGTTATATTTTAAGAATAAATATCAAAATTTTAGGAAGTTTAAGAGATAAATATAGGATACGTGAGAGCTGCGGTAGTGTAGTGGCTAATTGTTTGCCTGTTGGCCGAAGCTCTTGGGTTTAAATCCGCAATGGGTGTATTTTAAAAAAAATTGACTTTGTATCCCAAGTAAACCTAGTCTGAAATAGATACCTGGATGCGTCCTGTAAAGTAATATGCCTGGCATGAAAAAGCAACATCTATTGAGTGCCAGTTGTTTCATTAAAAAAATAAGAGTTTAACTCTAAAGAGTGAGTAAATGCTGTAGAGGCACAAGTAGATCAAGAAAATGGTACAGCGAGGAATGACGGGGCATCTGGCTGACTGGTGCAGCTAGGAGTGACAGGGGATCTGGCTGACTGGTACAGCGAGGAGTGACAGGGGATCTGGCTGACTGGTACAGCTAGGAGTGACAGGGGATCTGGCTGAATGGTACTGCGAGGAGTGACAGGGGATCTGGCTGACCGGTACAGCGAAGAGTGACAGGGGATCTGGCTGACTGGTACAGCGAGGAGTGACAGGGGATCTGGCTGACCGGTACAGCGAGGAGTGACAGGGGATCTGGCTGACCGGTACAGGAAGGAGTGACAGGGGATCTGGCTGACTGGTACAGGGAGGAGTGACGGGGCATCTAGCAGACACTCAGTGCTCTTGGGAGGGATGAGACGGACATACATTCAAACTCTTACTGGTACCATCAGAAATGGAGCTCTGTGCTTGCTGCGGATGGTGGGAGACTGAGCGCTTATGGGAATGTTCCAAGTTCTGTGATGTCGGTTGTTCACTCATAACTCATGTACAATGGGCCGCTGGAATGAAAAGGGTCCTACACTTTCATTATGGAATTGGAGGAGTAAAACAACAGTTTGGGTACTGGGTTAGTGTATCGTGTTAGGTAAAGCCAACAAAATTCATGGTCAGACAGGAAACTTTAGCATGTTAGGCAAAGCCAAGAAACTCATGGTCAAACAGGAAACTTTAGCAAGTTAGGCAAAGCCAAGAAACTCATGGTAAGATGCTTGGTACTGAATAAGTTAACAGTAAGTTCTTGTTACAAATGGAAGTTACTGATCATCTGTAAGCTGTTAAAATGTAACAGTTGTTACTGCTTGTTGTTTTCACTTGGTTGTGTGGCTGTTTATTTTTTTGGAGTGTGCAATCCATATTATGTATTCACTGTCTGAGTTGGTGAATGTGTTTGTGGTTTTTGTTTTTGTTTTTTTGTTTAAAGGAAAATGTGTGAAGTTTTCAGTTGACAGACATACAGAATAGTATCTGAAAAGTGAAACTTTATTTGGGTGAAAAATATACTGTGGGATATAAATCTATCTGTGATAACACTGGCTTCATGCAAATGTTGCTTCAGTCTTTGGCCAATCAGTTTGTTGCAAGAGGTTAAATATTTTTGTAAACAAATTTCGATGTTCTTCCAACTTTGTTGCAGTTTCGTCAAAATTTCGACCAGAAAAAAAAATATGAAACCCTCAGCAGAAACAAAAGTGGGGGACTGCATTTTTATTTTTTTTATTTTTAAAGTGAAATTATTTAAATGCTTCTTCAAAGTTTGTAAAGTTGTTAACCAGTAGCCAGTGAAACATGATTGCAATTGTTTGTGAAGTGCGATGATGTAAATTTGCTTGTACATGCTAGCAAAGCATTTGTTTTCTGGAATGTATAATAGAAATATATTGTCTGTTACCATTACTGTTTTACCACGAAGACAAGAGAACGTGCCTTGGAGAATCAGAATGAATCTCTTTTTTTCAAGAAAAGATATATGATTTTTGTTTTTGATTATACAAACATGAAACCTTTGAGTGTGTGATTGTGTAAGTTGGGAGTGTTGCATCCATCTAGTCTTGTAGAAAGTGTCAGGTGTTCAGTGTTGTTTCTGTCTGGTCTCGCAGGATGTGTCGTCATTCGGTGTTATTTCTGTCTAATCTTATAGAAAGTGTCGGATGTTCAGTGTTGTTTCTGTCAGGTCTAGCAGGTTATGTTGTTTTTTGGTGTGTCTAGTCTTGTAGGAAAGGGTCAAATATTCAGTGTTTTTGTCTAGTTTTGCAGGTTGTGTCCAAGTTTGTTATTTCTGTCTAGTCTTGAAAAAAAACTTTGGATGTTTGGTGCTGTTTGTGTATTAAGTCTTGCAACAGGTATCAAAATGTCCAGCGTCATTTCTGTCTAGTCCTGTATCAGATGCTTTGATAAGCTTTTGTTAAGTCCTGCATCAAGTATTTATTTCAGTTGTTTTTTTTTTTTGGTCTAGTGTCTTCCTGGTATCAAGCAGTTTATAGTTTTTGTCAACTCTACTATTGTTTCTGTTAAGTTTTACATCTGGTGTCAAATGTACTTTTGTTTCTGTCTGGTCCTACATTACAGTTGGTGTAAAGTTTAGACAGAAATGTCTAGTTTCTTGCTAATGTCAAGTTTATAGTTGTTTTTTTGTGTGTCTCAGTATAGAGTTATTTCTGTCTAGTCTTACATCTGGTGTCAAGTATATAAATGTTTCTGTCTAGACTCTTTGCTGGTGTCAAGCTTAGAGTGTTTCTTATCTTGCAGATTGTGTCAGTTTTAGATTGTTTCCATTTAATCTTGCAGCTGTTGTCTCGTGTGGAGCTATTTATCTAGTCTTACACCTGCTGTGAAGTTTTTAGTTGTTTCTGCTAGACTTAATCTGTTTTCACGATCAGATCTGTTTGTGTCTTGTCTTATATCGGTTGTTGGTTTAGAATTGTTTCTGTCTAGTCTTTATCTGTTGTCAGGTGTTATATATTCAACGCTACTGTCAAATCCTGCAGAAATAGTAAACTGTCTTTACTTGTAAACTGTCTTTCCTGTGTAATGTTGTCATGCCATTTAAAAAAAATCAAGTTCATTTTTTTTTTTTTTTTTACATTTCTACTTCCAATCTATGTGATTTTTATGAGCTTGAATTCTGCCGGAATTTAAGCTGGTTTTGTACGAGTTTGTGAAACTGTTATTGGGTCACAATGTTCCATTTTTTTTTTTATTGACAGTGATGATTCAAGTGTGGGTGGTGATGTTTTTATTTTTCTGTAATTCTACTGCATTTAAAAACAA